TGGATGCTGGATTTTGTCGAACACTTTTCTGCAACTATTGATATGATCTTATGGTTTTTATTTTTTGATTTGTTAATGTGGTGTATCACATTAATTGATTTAAGGATTTTGAACCAACCTTGCATCCCAGGAATAAATCCAACTCATGGTGTATGATACTTGTACTGCTGAATTTGGTTTGCTAATATTTTGTTGAGGATTTTTCATCGATGTTCATAAGAGATATCGGCCTATAGTTTTCTTTTTTTGTAATGTCTTTGCCTGGTTTTGGAATCAAGGTAATGGTGGCCTCATAAAAGGAATTGGGGAGCCTTCCCTCTTCTTGAATTTTTTAAATAATGTGAAAAGAATAGGTGATAATTCTTCTATGAATGTTTGGCAAAATTCGCTTATGAAGCCATCTGATCCAGGACTTTTGTTTTTTGGGAAGTTTTTGATTACCGATTCTATTTCATTGGTGGTAATTGGTCGGTACAGATTTTCTGTTTCTTCTTGACTCAGTCTTGGGAGATTGTATGTTTCTAGGAATGTGTCCATTTCTTCCAGATTGTCCAATTTGTTGACGTATAATTGCTCGTAGTTTTTTCTTATGAACCTTTGTATTTCTGTGGAGTCTGTGATTATTTCCCCTCTTTCATTTCTGATTTTATTTATTTTAGTTCTCTCTCTTTTTTCCTTGATGAGTCCGGCTAAGGGTCTGTCAATTTTGTTTGTCCTTTCAAAGAATTTTGTTTGTCCTTTCAAATAGTTCTTGGTCTCATTCATCTTTTGTATTGTTTTTCTAGATTCTATTTCATTTATTTCCTCTCTGATCTTTATTATTTCCTTCCTTCTATTCACTTTGGGCTTTGTTTGCTGTTCTTTTACTAGTTCTTTTAATTGTAAGGTTAGATTGTTTATTTGAGTTTTTACTTGATTCTTGAAGTAGGCTTGTATTGCTATGAATTTCCCTCTTAGGACTGCTTTTGTTTTGTCCCATAGGTTTTTGAGTCATTGTGTTTTCATTTTCAATTGTCTCTAGGTATCTTTTAATTTATTCTTTGATCTCATTGTTAACTCATTCATTGTTTAGTAGTTATTTAGCATCCATGTGTTTGTGTATTTTCCAGATTTTTTTCTTGTAATTGATTTCTAGTTTCATACCATTGATTGAGACTTGATTTGTGTCCTAACATGTGGTCTGCCCTTGAAAATATTCCATGTGCACTTGAGAAGGATGTATATTTTGCTGCTTTGGGGTAAAATGCTCTGAAAATATCTATTAAGTCCATCTGTTCTAGTGTATCTTTTAGGCCCATTGTTTCCTTGTGATTAAACAACCCAATTTTTTTTTTAAGTGGGCAAATGATTTGAATGGCCAACAAGCACATAGAAAGTGCTGAATCACCAAGGAAATGCAAATTGAAACCTCAGTGAGGTTTTGCTTCATCTCCCCGGGAATGGCTTTTAAAAAGACTAGCAATGCCAGGTATTGGCAAGAATGTGGATGGGCTTTAATCCTGCACTGCTTCTGATATGAATTCATATTACATACTAGGTGCTCTGGAAAAAGGGAATTATGCCTTACTGTTTACAAAGCACTTTTTGTTCGTTTCCTATTTTGATCTCCAAAATAATTTTATAGGGTTCCTTTTGAGTAGGGTCTTTGAAGAGAGAACCACCTTAATCATCCCTGACTAGCATAGACATAACTATATTTAGTTAGGCTACCATTGTGAAATTGTAATTACTGAGGCTAATATACTGGCTTTCTATTTATTCTTTTTTACATTTATAGGGAACCTGATATACAGTCAGAATAACTTAAGCATCTTCCTTCAAGTACCAAGTAATACCTATTCTAGTTAAAATGACTGTAGTTCTTAAAATCCAGCTCTTCCACTGAGCTAAAATAAGTAACTATTCAGCACAGTAACTATTGCCAATGGAAAAAGTTTTGAACTGACACTGTCAAGACAAGCAGAGTCCTTTTTGTCTTCAAAGACAAATTAGTCTGACTGGATTTATTTTTGCCCTCTAGCCGTCAGGGCCTCATTCCAGATTGGAGCAAGTCTGTCTTCTTATTTCAAGGAGGCTGTTAAACCTGGAACAGGTGACACATTGTGGCAAATCACATGCTCTGGTGAGGGCTGGGGAAAGTGAAATTTCAAATGATAAGATGCCAGAATGAAAGCATCACTGACTCTGCAGCAATGGGAGTAAAAAGTAATTTGTTCTACAGACAAATGGGAGTAAAAAGTAAAATCAGAAATGCTGTGCAGAGCTTAACCATGATTAATCATTTCTAAGTCTTCTCTGAGTCATTCACCTAGAGGCTTTGATGGACCAAAGGCAAAATCTACAACTTTTACTTTCATTTAGTTTCATATATATAGCTTCGCTCTGCAACCACAGAGAGAAGGCAGGCTCAAAATTGTACCCAGAAGGGTTTGAGATGCAAACATCACCTCACCTCAGAGATTGCAAGACAGAACTTTTTGAGTTTTCTTACCACACAAGAAGGATCCATTTGAGATGGGTCAGATGCAGAAGGGTGGTCCAAATGACTTCTTAAAATTGTCAGTGACAACTACAGAACTCTAAATGGTGGTTAATTTACTTACGAGCATTTATATATTAGGTTTCCTTAAACGAGAATATTCCCATTAAAAAATCAAACCAGGCCCTTTATCATTAAGGTAATTGGTATCTATCTAGTAGTGTGGAAAAGAGTGAAGTCATGGTGTAGTGTGGTATAATTATATGAAAATGTGCAAAAGAACAAGTACAAAATAAGTTGCTAAGAAAACTAGGAAAGCCAAGGGAGATGTTTGGGGTTGATTTTAAGACCAAAGCATGTGCAAGAGGGTGGTGCGATAGTCCCACCTACCCACAGCCTCTGGAGCCGCCAGCAGCCAGGACTGTGGAGGAAAGGCACTGAGCTGCTGGCTTGAGGAAATGTTTCCTCCCACACTTTTCCCTCTGCCCCCAGAGAGCTCCTCTACACACTCGTGTTTGAATTTCTTCCTGTACCAACTCCGCCATTTACTGTTTTCCACATCTGGCACACCTGTCTCAGAACTGTTAGGGGGATTAAAAGCTGCATCACACGAGGTGTGTCTGGTTCAGTACCTCACTCACTAAATGAGGCCTCCATCAGCCCACAGCCCTGGGAGGGAAGCCTTGCTCCAAATCCCCTGCTTCCAGGTAGTCATCCCAGGAAAGCAACTCAGCATTTCATGTGACTAGGCCTCAGTAAAAGTTTATTCGAAAGTAGTGAAGGCCACCGGTTTCTGAGTGCTCAGAATTGCCACTCTTGATTCTTGCCCAAATGGAGCTCACTGAAGCAGTGTGGGCTTTGAGCAGGGTGTCCAGAGACCAGGATGCTAGAACCAGTTCAACTACCATCTGAGTATGGAATGTTGAGCAAGCTGTTTGCCTTGTTCAACTCCTTCCACCTTATTCATGAAGTAATGCTCAGTCCCCTTCAACATGCATCTGTATTATCTACCACAGAGGCCTGGCCGGGCGGGGG